CAGTTTTTGTACAGTGTCTTTGGCATTACCTTGCACAGGTCCATTTCCGAGTCCGTGTTCTTTAAAAGGGGACCACTGTCCTCTTCAAAGCCCGGACTCAGGAGTACCTTTGGGAATGGATCCGTGTCTCTTGGTAGGCATTCCTTCTCTTTGTATGACTGCAGTAAATCCTTCTCCTCTGCAGCCAGTCTCTCCTTTACTTTCCCCAGGACACGTTCCATTGTTCTGGTGGACTTCATTTTGACTGCAGCGGCAACCCCTGGGCGTCTCCAAAATCCGCTCCAGAAAATTGGATCAGCCGCTTTAAAGTCACCAGTCCAGCTCTGCTCAAAGTCTCTGATAGTCCTAGGAACGTGTCTTTTTCGACGTCTAATCTTGCTCCGCAGACCAATGGTTCTTCTAAAAGCCAATGCAGAGAGTCATTCGTTTCCGATCTACGCAATTTAAAAAGAGCACACGATTTAAAAACGCTCTGATAAAATTGCGGAATCTCCCTTAACTTTAAAAGACTAAAATTTGTTAAAAACAGAGCAGCATCCAACTCCAATAAATTCACATGTCTCAAAATGCAGCTGGCCACATCTCTCCATACAGGAGATCCTGTCAAATATTTCTGTAAAAACTGCAATCTAAAAACAACCACTCTACTAGCCAGGTGGACAAGGCCTTGGCCCCCCTCCTCTCTAGGTAAAAACAACACTGATTGCGGTACCCAGTGATGGTTATTCCAAAAGAAATTCACCATTTCTGTTTGGATTTTAGCCAACAGCCTTGATGGCGGGTCTAACACAACAAGTTTATGCCATAGTTGTGAGGCAACCAGGTTATTAACACCAGCACTCTTCCTCGATAAGACATTTTGCCGTGTAGCCATTTCCATTTGGCAAGTTTATTTGTTATCTTTTGTTCTACGTTTCCCCAGTTCTTTTCTTCAAAGTCCTTTCCGCCTAAAAAAACACCAAGATATTTCAAGCCATCTTTCCTCCAAGTCATGCCCTTGGGGAGAGCCGGGAGTCCTTCAGCCCACTTGCCAACAGCCAGGGCCTCGCTCTTTCCCCAATTCACCTTGGCGGCAGACAGCATGGAGAATTTCTGTATGATCTTGGTTAAAGCGCTGACGTCTCTTTGATCTTTAATAAAAACCACGAGATCGTCAGCATAGGCGGATAAAACCAATTTGTTGTTAAAACCAGGTAAAACCATGCCATGGATCTCTCTGAGCGCATTTTTTGCAGGAGGGGTTCCAGGGAGAGTGCGTAGAGCATCCCCGAGAGCGCGCAGCCCTGTCGGACACCTCTACACACCTAAAAGGAGCACACAGGCTACCGTTGATCTTCAGCACACTCTCAATGTCACTGTACAATACCTGGATCTTGGCGATAAAACCCTCGCTGAACCCGAACTTCCCCATAATTTTCCAGAGGAAGCCGTGTTCAACGCGGTCAAAAGCCTTTTCTTGATCTAGTGAAATCAAGCCAGTTTGTAAACCCAATGAACCGGAGACTTCCAAAACATCCCGAATTAGGTAGATATTATCTACCATAGACCTGCCGGGGACGCAATAGGTCTGATCCCGGTGGATGACCTGCTCCATGGCTCTTCCTAACCTTGTGGCTAGGCCTTGGAGAGGATTTTATAGTCGGTGCAGAGAAGGGACACGGGGCGCCAGTTCTTTATATCCTGCAGGTTTCCTTTCTTGGGCAGCAGGGCGATGACCGCCCTACGACAGGACAAGGGGAGCGAACCAGTGGCCAGACTTTCATTACACACCTCAAGCATGTCCTGGGCCAGAAGATCCCAGTAGGTCTTGAAAAACTCCACCGTGAGCCCATCAACACCCGGGGACTTCTGGCCCTGCATGCCCAGGAGGGCTGTGTGGAGTTCTTGCATGCTCAGAGGGCGCTCCAACTCGCTGTTGGTCTCCTCAGAGACCTGAGGCAGTTCCTCACAGAACTCCTCCATCAGTTCGTCGTTCTCCCTGTTCTCGCTTTGGAACAGTGAACGGTAGAAATCGACAGCCCTCCTCCTTATCTGCCCTGGTTGCTCAGATGCTGCCCCGTGTCCGACAGCAACGAGTGGATCATTTTCCTCTGCCGTGCTTCCTCTCCAGGCCAAAGAAAAAGCCAGAGGGAGCATCCATCTCTGCGATCTTGCATCCGGGATCTGACCAACGCGCCTTGGACTTTATTCTCCAGCAGGTTGGCCAAAGTTAGCCTTTTTGATTTGAGAGCTTCAATATGCTCTCGATTTCCTGTGGCGTCACTAAGTCGTTCTAGCTCCACTATGCTCATCTCCAGATCTCTGATAGATCCGGCAATGTCACAAGTGACATTGACAGTGTGCTGTTGACTCAGCAGTTTGATCTGGACCTTTCCATAGTCCCACCACTGTCTGATGGAGATAAAATCAGCCTTCGTTTGTCTAAAACCGTTCCAAAAATAAGTTAAAACCTCTTTAAAACTCTGATCGTAAGTCAAAGCAGAATTAAAATGCCAGTACGCGCTTCTAGGTAAAATGTTTCTGATAAAAAACACTACCTAAAAGCAACGAATGATCCGTAAAAGCCACGGGTAAAATCTGGCATGTTTTAAAACGTTAAAATGGTGTTTAAAGCAATAAAAACGATCTAAACGAGCTAAAGAGATTTTACCTTCCTTAATATGGGACCATGTGTACTGCCTGGAGCCTGCGTGCATCCTCCTCCATACGTCCACCAGGCCATGAGACGAGACCAGCTGCTTCAAGACATGTTGGGCTATCGGGTGCGGCTCTGCATGATTGCGGTCTAAAAACTCATTCTCAGTGCAATTAAAATCCCCACCTATGAAAACATAATCTTCTGGCCCGCAATCACCTAGTCTTTCCCCAATTTTTTCATAAAAACGTTTCTTCTCTGCATTGGTAGTCGGAGCATAAATATTAATAAAAACCATGCTAAAAAAATCAAATTCTTTATTAAAAGACACCTCCCTTTTATAACGTGTTCGGTTTCAATAGCAATAGGGGTAAAAGCTTTAGAAAAAAGAAAGCCTACCCCTGCACTCATAGATGTGCCATGACTTAATATGACCTCTCCCTTCCACTCTCTGCGCCATTCCGTTTCTAATATGTGATCACTGTGTGTCTCTTGCAGAAAAATTACATCAATTTTCTTTTGTTTTAACATTTGATAAATTAATGCCCGTTTTTCAACCTCTCTGGCCCCATTTAAATTCAAAGATGCTATTTTAAAAGACTCCATCTTGTGTAAAAAACTAAAACCAACCCACCAAAACACTACAATAAATAATAAATAATCACTATACATCATTAAAATTGTTTTCTAACTTTTGACATTATCTTTTTAACCTGTAAATTTCTGTGTCCGTAAAATCTGATTCTTCTTTGTGTCTGATGTGGTGTCGGGCAGAGAAATAAAACGTTCTTAAATTAGGGAAATATTTTTCTAATTTTACCCCCTTAACCCTTTTGTTTGCCTTAAAAAGGTTGTAAAGGCTTCTGCTGGGTATCTCGGTTCTTTGTCCATTTTTGATACAGAGGCTTCGCTGGCGTCAGAGAACCAGCTCTCTGTATCACTGCTGTCTGACACCTCCCTCCTCTCTACAGTCAACTTGCTAGCTTGTTTGCTAGCTTTTGCAGCAGCCACTACATTCTGCCTTTTGCTGCGTCTCTTTGCCGGGACACTGGCTTCAAAGTCCATGTCTTCCTCTACTTCACCGTTTCTCTCTCTGCTCCATCCCCTACCACCGACTCTACACTGCCTTTCCTTTTGCTTTGTCCTTCTGCCTGAGCTCTCTTCCCTCACCTTCATACACTCGACTCCTCATCGCCCCTCACATCTTCCAGATCTCTTTCCACACCGTCATTCACCTGCTCCACACTCTCACTCACACCACCATTCACCCCATCACCACACACCGCCATGCTCTCACCTTTTCCGACATTCCCACTCTTATCTCCGTCCTCCACTGACCCTTCATCAACATTCTCCGGTTCCCCCGCCGCAGTAGCGGGTTCCCCCGCCGCAGCAGCGGGTTCCCCCGCCGCAGTAGCGGGTTCCCCCGCCGCAGCAGCGGGTTCCCCCGCCGCAGCAGCAATAGCGGCCTCGCCATCTTGCCCAGCAGGGGGCTGCTTTTCCTCCGATACCGAAGCGGCTAGCCCGGCCCTGTCGGGACACATTTTTATAATGTCCCTCTTGTCCACAACCAAAGCACTTCATATTTGAAGTGGTTGCAAAAAGCACGTAGTCGAAGTCATCTAGTCTCACATGAAACCGTAAGTTTAGTTCCTCATCTTTTTTGTTTAGAAGCATGAACAGTTGTCTTCTATGAGAAACTACATGCTTCAATAAAGGTGATTTACACCCTGATGGTACCTTCTTAACAGGTGAAACCACCTTACCATGCCTCGATAGCTCCTTTACTAGAAATTCATCGCTAATGAACGCGGTACATTCGATAGTGTCACCTTTTTTGCTGGTAGCGTTAACGGTGACACTTGCAGAAATAAGCCGTTGACGGACACCCGCCTCCACCAACTGTTGAGCTTGTTCGACTTTTTCCACAAATAAAACCACCGCCCATTCATCCGTGCAGCCGACCGAATAGACCCGTGCCCAATCACCTCTCCAACCGCTAAACAAACTTCCTCCACGCTGCACGGAGAGCCGGCACCCACCTTGATGCCGTTCTTCCGTGTCAGCGTGGAGAAAGACCCACCACCAACACCCACCATTGTTGCCGTCAGACGCCGGCAAGCCAGGCACGCCCGACGGCCACACCCCAAACAAACGAACAAAAAACCCCTTAAAACGTGATACAACTAACACAAAATTACAATTAAACAAATAAAACTAGACACCCAGTGAAAAGACAGTAAGAAAAGATAAAGATATACAAACACGCTCTCTTTCACTTTCCTTCCGCTCTTCCTCACACCCTCCTCTCACACGAAGAAGAAGAAGAAGAAGAAACTGGTGGCTGATGCTGTTTCTTTTTTACCTTGATGACCCTTGACCACACTATTTTATAGCCATTCATCCTGAAAGGTGTGCAGTAGACTTTAGATCAGAAGAACGAAAAGGATGTTTTTCTCTTAAGACAAATTAAACAGGAAAAGAATCAAAGTCCTTCATCAGATAGGCTTTCCATATTTTGATGAAGCCTCTATCACTGTGTTGTTTTGAAATTGATACTTTTCAAAAACCAGCAGAAATCCAAATGGAAGGTGGTAAACTGACCTCTGGCTGAAAAACAATGAAAATCACAATTATTAATCATTTTCCTTCTACTTTTCACTAATTTTCTGTTCTATGCTGGTCTGAAACATAAAATCAAAACAACACACAATAAATCATGAAAGTGGAAACATCACAAAATTTGTAGAAATTGAAGGGGTTATGTTTTTTGTTGCAAGTGTGTATCTTTTAGCTTTGGTGTTTCTGATGCAAATGCATTTTGTAAAGCTGTCAGAGAGCTTACAAATTCACAGTCAAGTAAATTAAGTTTAATTAAAAATTTAAAAGTCAATATTTGGAGCAAAATTAGAAAGAAAAAAATATCAAAGTTTAGAGTCAGGAGTGAGCTACATGTTTATGTGTTGGAGTATAAACAAGGTGGAGAGAGATGTCACTGCTGTGAGTTTAGGCCTTGCAATTATAGCCTAATGGTTGAACAGAGGAGAAAGCAACCCCCAAATATGCTGTTGGAATGACTCGACAACTTAATAATAAATCTGCTGAAAGATTTATTACAAGTGTTAAAAAAAAGAACCAGAGACAAGACAGAGAAAAGATTAACATTAGGTTGGAAAAAAACAATGTAGTTAGGTATGGAGTCAAAGAAAAGAGAGAGTGAATGTGATGACCTACTGAAAGACCTTTAGTGCAATCACATCAGCAAGGGACAAATCACACAGCGAAGCATTGCACCATCACATTACCACCACCATGTTTGACTGTGTCTATGATGTTCTTTTTAAGAAGTAGGTTTTTGGTAAATGTGAGACAAACCTTGGTAAATGTGAGACAAACCTTGGTAAATGTGAGACAAACCTTGTGTTTTTTTGAGTCAGCATTGGCTCTGACCTTTGAACTCAGTCATTTTTACACAGTCTGTCCTCATTGTGGAACCATGACTGCTGTAACCGTTTCCAGACTGATGTCAGTGATTTTAGTTCTCATCTGTTCTGAAATTCTTTTAGAATGGATTATGAGGCTTTTTGAGATCTTATAAATACACTGTGCATTTAAAGAATTTACTTGTTTCCACAGATCAGGAATTAGACGTTTACAAAAAGGTTGCTAATAAAACTGTGAATTCATGATTTTTAAAGAGTATGGGAGGTCAGACAGGGTATATTTACAAATAGTTTTGATGCATTTTTAAGTGAAAATTTAAATTACCTTAATATTTGAAAAAATTGCATGTGACAAAATAGCACAAGGCGAACATTACCAACTCTGACAAGAGTCTCTCATAGAAATGTTGATTAAATGGCATTAGAGTAGTAGTAGTAGACTGAGGTTTGGTTGAAGAGTCACAGCAGTTTTCTAAAGTAGATGTGGAAAAGCACAACAGCGCCAAGCTCGCAGTCTCTGGCCAATTTTTCTAATTTCAGTGAGTCTCCTCTGGAAGATGGAGGGCAAAACTATAGTATTTACAGAAGGTAAAACTGGATATCCTTCAGGAGGACAAAGAAGGAAAACAATAACTGTGATTCTTTTCCCGGCTGCTCAGACAGCAGGGAGAAAAAGAAGAGAAAAAACTGTGTTGCGTATCGCATGTACACACAATAGAAACTTGATAGGTTTCTGCAGAGGGTGAAGAAATGGGCTGAAAGTTTTGTGGCGTCCTTGTAATTGGACAAGCTCCCATCAAACCAAAACACAGCAGAGCTCTGAACCGGAGCCTCTGGCTGGGTTCATCAGTACAAACTGTAAGATCCTCATCCATTCTTTCTCAGGGTCACAGAAACATTTCTGGAATAATGTTTGATTGTATTCATTTTAAGAATATTTATCTTATGTTTTTCCCATTCTTTTTTATAAAAAAAAAGAATGGGAAAAACATTCTTTTCCCAATACAGTTTTATTTAAAACTGTATTATTCACAGACACTCTGCATCAAACTGGATGCAGAGTGTCTGTGAATAATACAGTTTTAAATAATATCTGGAGCATTTTTATTTTTTTTTGCCTAGTCATAATTAGGTTCCACTTTGTGTTGGTCTGTCACAGCATATTCATGTAAAATAAATTTAAGTTTGTGACTGAAATGTGGAAAAATATGAAAAAAGAATATATAAGAATGTAAAGCAGTGAATGTAGTAAACATAGATAATGACTTTATTAGTTAGATCTTGAAATAACTCATAGCAGAAAGTCAGTTGGTAGATTTTTTTTTTATCAAAAGAAGCCAAAATAAAATCTTGATAACTCTCTTTCTAGAAAGATAAACTAACTATTTTTAACCCAATAACTGAAAAAAAGATAAAAGTAATAAAAATATTCTCTCTTTCAGTAATAATATAACAAAACACCAGATGGTTTTCATTTCCAGTTGGTTTTCAATCTGTGCTCCAAGTTAAAAGGCTGCCTTCTGAATATATGGGTTGTTCAGATTATTTAAATATTCATGTGTGTTTCCAAAATAAAATGGAGAATCCATCTTTGGTAAAGAAATTCAAAGTCTCTTTTGATCATCCTCAGCTTTGATGCATTTTCTAACTTGTCCATGTGCAGTGTACAGTTTGGACATTGCTGCTTCTGCCTATAAATCAAAATAAAGTCTAACCAAAGCATCAGTAACGCAACACAAATATATTTCATAAGGAATTTTCTCTGATTTCTTGCTTCATGTTTACCTACAAGAGACCAGACTCTTTAAAGCATGCAGCACTTTCCGCTATCTTCTTTGTCTTTTCTACCAGTGATAGTGTTGTTTGATCATGTGACTGGTATGATGGAGAAATTGTGTGTCTGTTGCAGTTTCGCAAAATACATTATGATACAGCCAAAAAACAATCTCATCCTACTGCAAAACCCTTTTACCAAAAAACGTTTGCCAATATAGCTGTTTCCATCAAACAATTTATTTTGTATTTTGAATTTGCACAATTTTATGGTCAATGGAAACACAGCTAATAAAAAGACTGAAGTTCTATTAAAAAATGTAATGGATCAGAGTTAAAAGCTCTCCCATACTTCAACCAAAGTGTTAAAATCGACTCTCATTGATGCATGAGGAAAATTTCATAGTTATGTTGCTTCAACTAGTCCACTACCACTATTTATTTAAATATATAAATTTGTTCTCAGTTGTCATGTAGCTTCAGTGAAAGATTTCTAATATTTTAAACAAATTAACAAGAATCACATATTCTTGTGATGTTTGTATGTCCTGTATTTTGACAACATTCTCCTGTATTTTACAGGATACACAACTCTCAAAGCAGACACATGCCATGTTCTTTGTAATTTGCATGTCATACAAGCTGCTAACAAACAGGTTTTGTGCCTCTGTTTAAAAGCTCAATCACTGCATTAAATCACATTGCACGTCCCCTGACTGCAGCTCTAGCAAAGAATGATCAATAAAAAAAGAAGCACCCACTGACTGATTAGCTTTGCTCTTGTTTTGTTTGGGCCTCTGGTCAAAATGGAATGTTTTCTTGATAGTTCCATAGATCACAGCTGGCCTGAAAATGCAGAAATAGGAAGTCTGCACAATTATCGCCTGCATTTGTTAAAAGTTGTCTTGGACACAAAGAGAATACCCAAAGCCCTAACGCTTTCTAGAATACATAGATGGCTATGAAATATTATTTCTGCTTTGTAACTCATTTGACATTATACATGATATCAAAGGGATTATCTAAATTCATTGTAGCAATAATACTGATGAAATCATGTCTGTTCTGGTAAAGGTATGGCTTTATATTTCATTTCAGTGCATATGACTCTTTCTGCAATGCAGAAAAGCATCAGACATTTTCCAGAGAATTGATCAAAACAAGAGGCAGCAGGTCCAAATTGCAGTCAGACCTAATCTGGATGAAAAAGAAGTAATTCAAGCTGCTAAAGTTGCAACACAAACTGTTGCAACACTCAGTAAGAAGAGATGCAGATATAATATTCCTGCTTGTGTGTGTGTGTGTGTGTGTAAATTACAATGCACTATATGTTCCTCAATTGCTGTAAAATGAGAATACTGTTGCCTATAGAACTATAAAAAGTAAATAAAACTATATATGTAATGTTATGAAGCTGCAGTCATATCTAATAAGTGTTTCTTTAGATGACATTCAAACATAATGAATGTTGCCATTGGTCTGTCAGATGGCAGCAGCTTCAGTCAAGCACACTGAGCACAATACAGATGGCACTTTTCTCACTTATTTCTATTCCTCTGTGGGTCTGACCTGAAAAGATTAGACCACTAAATTATGAAAGTCAAGCAGCTGGTCTTTTGCAGAAAAGAAATGTGGATATATTAGAAGTCTTTAAAACTGATTCATTTGGCTTTTATTTCTAATATGTATTCGGGTTGTAAAGACTCACTAGAAGAACCCGGAAAATCAGCCACGACACAGGAGTGAGTAGAAAACTCAGATATTTATTAAAAGACAGCGCAGACCGGGCTCACTGGATCGTCAGCTGCAGCACTGGCGTGGCGATCAGGTACTGGAGTGATCAGCTGAGGGACGAGCTGGAGAGCAGATGCTGCGCTGACTCAGGACTCAGAAGGAAGTGCCTGTGGAGGGGAACCCTTAATGCAGGGCAGCACATCAACTCTGTGAAGCAGCAGAAGTACCAAATCCAAATTCTTGGTCAGATGGGCTGAGGTCATGCACGATGGCGGCTGAGAGCAGACTCTGTGGGAGTGGACGAGAGCAGTGTAACCAAAACAGGCATGGGTAGAGATCCAGATGGGTGGTCAGCAAAAGTCTGACAAGGGCAAGACAAAAGGAGCAAATCCGGGGAATGACAACATGGTTGTAATAATGAGGGCGAGATAGGAGTGTTGGAAAACTACTTGCAGAAAGCATTCGATAATCTGGC